GGCAGGGGCAGCTCTTGTGTCCCACTCCATGACCCTTCGGTGTGCCCCTGTGACCTCCCTTTCCTGTCTGTGTCCTTCCCATATTCCTTCGTGTCTGTGTCCCTCTATGTTCTTCCTTCTCTGTGTCCCCCCTGTGACCCTCTTGTGTCCTCCCGTGTCCTCTTCTGTCTCTGTCTCCACTCTATGTCCCTCCCATGTCCTCTCGTCTCTGTGTCTCTCTGTGTTCTCCTCTCTCTGTGTCCCTGCATGCCCTTTCGTGTCCCACTCTGTGTCCCTTCCATGTCCCCTCTGTGTTCTGCTGTCCCCTTGTCACACATGAGCAGCTCAACATCCCCTTCAGACCTCCTCAAGTGTCCCTGCTCCCCCTCAACCCCACCAGGACACCGGTGTGTACATTTCCCACTCCCTTGCCTGTCCCCGAGGAATTCCCTCAGCCTTTCCCCCCACATCTCCCAGTTTTGCCCATCCCTGCCCTCAGGTTTCCCAGGAGCAGCTCCATGGCTCTTCCCTATCCACAGCCAGTGCAGAGACCAGTGACACCATCTGGTGTGGGTAATTCCCCCATGAAAACTCTGATCCACCTTCCTGAGAGCAATTCCAGTTCTGAGGGCTTTGCCCAGGAGTGTTTTCTTTGCTGCCAGCTCCAGCCTGGAGCGTTGGGTTGATTCTCCCTCACAAACACCACTCAGGGCTGCTCCATGGGTGTTCCCAGGTGCTGGGGAAGGTGGGAAGAGCAGGGAGGAGCGTTGGGATGTGGAGCTGACGTCTCAGGTGGGCTCTGCCCTCCCTGACCCTGTCCCTGTCCCCAGATCATCCGAGTGCAGTCGCCGGAGGGAGTCAAACGCATCACGGCCACGAAGAGGGAGACGGTGGCAACGTTCCTCAAAAAGGTACCCCAGGAGCTCCTGTGCCTTCCCACGGGATGGGGCACTGCTGCCACAGCTCTGTCCCTGGGGGATGTGTGTTTATTCTCACTGGCAGCACCAAGGAGCAGCATTCCCTGTGGAAAACAGCATTTTGTTGGGGTAACTTGTGCTGTTCCAGAGGGAAATTAACAACTTTTAAGCAAAAAACTCCCTCAGCTTCTCCCTTGGGGTTTCCTGGTGGAGCTTTCCTGGGAAGGACACTGTTTGGGTAGTCCCAAAGAGGTGGGAGCTGGAAGGAGAGAGTGAGGGTGGCACAGGGGAGCTGTGGGATGGTCAAACCTAGGGCTCTTCAGGCAGAATCCAGGTCTGACTCAGCTGCTGGATTTGGGCTTTGAATATCCCTTGGATGTAGTGTGTGTGCTGCTGCTTTTCCAGGATGGATTTGGAGAGAGCAAGGCAGGGATTGAGTGAGGACCTGAGAGCTCCCAGGAAGGATTTCCACCCTGGGATGTGTTACTGTCAGGGTTTGCTTGGCTGGAGCTGCTCCGTGGGGGGAAGCAGCTGCTCAGTGTTCAGTTTGCTTTGTAGGATGAGCGGTTCTCCCTTTCATTCCCTCCCAGAGCACCTCTGGAACCTTTGGATTAGGGTTTCTTTGCTCCATGACGTTGTGCCCCTGTGCCTGAAGGGTCAGGCAGGTTCCCTGTCCCTGGGAGGGGGAAGAGAAAGAGGAGCTGCCTCAAACCTTCTCTTTGTGAGTCACTTGCTTTGTTTGAAGCTCAGGCCCAGACCCAGCAGCATTCCCAGACACCATTCCTG